GGAAAAGGCCAATCGAACTTTTAATATATTTTGTGTACAGTTAGCCATCTATGAAAAGTTTATCATTATAATAAATTTTTTATAGACACTTAACTGTACACAAAATATATTGAAAGTTCGATCAGCCTTTTTTCCTTGGCAGCACTCATATATATCAAGTTGTATGTACTTATTCTAGAGTGATTTTTATTTGATTTTTATATAAATTTAATGGGTTTCACATTTTTCACATGTTAAATTTTAAAAATGTTATCTTTGTAACATACTGAAATAGCAAACACTAAGTATTACAATCATCTCATAATCTTAAAGTTTACAAAGCTATAAAAATGCAGGAGTTTTTTTTTTTAAGTTACTAAGAATTTTAATTTTTTAACATAGAAATATATTGCCTTTGAAAAGCTGATAATTACCCAAGCTTTATCAACTCTATTTATATTACTGCACTAGCAAAATATAGGGTTTTTTTATTTTTGGCACTATAAAACATAGACTACTGTATACTACAGTATTATTAAAATCTAAAACACTTATTGAACTTTTTTTGATTGTTGAAAACTATTTAATTATTAAACATTTCTTTATTTAAACTATTCAAATAATAAATGTTTTAATGGTTGTTATTATTATTATTATATAGTTTTTTGAATAGTTTTTGTATTTATTTTTATTATTATTATTTTTATTATTGTTATAAAAAACTTTAAAAAAATCAAATAAAGCCACAATATAAAAGTTAAGCCAAACCAAGTATATAATAATTTATTTAAGTTTTTTATTATAATTTATTTATTCTAAGCTTTAATTACTTTATTAGTGGAATCTGGTAAATCTAGTCAAAGATGAAATGCAAGAGTTACCTTGTGCTATTGCTTCCTTAGTTTCATTATATAAAGATCTTGGATTGTTAAAATGTAAAACTGAAGAGTACCAAACAAAATGGCATACAGATAATAATTTAGCAAAAAGTTGTCTTCCATTATATAATAGATTTTTTCCTGAATTAGTTGAAATTCAAACACATTTAGAAGATTTTTCTTTATGTGAAGTGCACTATAATCAGCTTGTTATATTAGATTTTTTAAGACAAATTCTTTCAGATTCTAGCTATGTACAAATATCTAAAAATAGACAAAATAAACAAAAGCAAACTCAAATAGAGTATACAGATATTGAAAATAATACTTGTGAAATTAGCATTCAAACTGATAATAAGGAGACTAGAGATATTGGTATACAAGCATTTGATAATACATTATATACTTTTGAAAGTTATATTTATTTATTAGAAGCACAAATAAATATAAAAATAAATTAGATAAAGGATCTTAAAAAACAATTAGAGTATGCATATGATTATGTGATTGAAAGTTGAAAGCACATTCAAGAAATAAATATAATAAATAAAGAACTAGCTAAACAAAATAATGCATTAAATATAACTGGAAAACTCAATTTAATAGTTCAAAAAAAAGAATTGATTCTGTAATTCAAATTGCAAATCAGGAACGACAAAATATTTATAATGATATTGAGTCATTAATTTTAAATAAGCAATGTTTTTACTTAATAATTTGTTAAATTTTGCATCTGATAATTGGTTGGCTAATTGTAACCAGTTCTTGTAAATTTTATTAATACTCTTACATATAATGATAGTAATAACTCTAATACTTATACTTTAAATGAAAAGGTTTTAAAAAAAATAGTTGCTATTGATGCTATATATGGATCAAGATATAAAAACTATATATCAGAAATAAATCTTGCTATAACTAGAATTAAATATTCGATTGCATGATCAAAAACAATTATTGATATTGATAATCATGAAATTAGTTCTAGAAGTTACACTAAATTTATTAATTGGCTTGAATCATTAGCAGTTGAAATTGAACCTTTATCTAAAAGACTCTTATTTTTAGCTTTCGATAATAAGCAATGTGGTCAATATAATTATCTTGATCGTGGTAATAATACAGTTATATATCATATAGTTACAGGTTTTCTTGCACTTAATATGAATAAAAATGATTATACTCAATTTACAATTAATCCATGGCTTTGTGATTCATTAACTGATGAACAATATGATAAGCTATATTATATTATACCTGAAATGCAAGCAGAACATAAATTAGAATTAAAAATATATTTATAATTAATTTTAGAAGAGCTTGTCGCTAAAAAAAATAAAAAGGTCAATATAATTGATCAAGCTATAAAAAATCAAAAGGTACTGGAAGTCAATCTAAATGGTGCAAAAAATGCAATACAATTAATATTAATAATAAAAAACATAATTGCCCTAATTGCAACAAAAAACTTGATATATTGGCTAATTTACAAGCAGAATTTGCTAGTAAATTTACTTCAATTAGTACAGCCTCCCAATCAAAACCTCTTGTAATAAAGCCTCATATATTTGCTCAAGAGCAAAATAGTTTCAATATTGATCGAATTAGTATTATACAGCAATTAAACTCTGAACACAATATTGTTATTCCTGAAATGTATGTACCAGATCAATTAGGATTTAATCCTAACTCAATAGAAAATATCAAAAAAGTACTAGAAAATATGCAAAATATTCCTGAAATAAACCAAGGAAAGAGAAAATGGCTATCTGTTACTTGTGATAGTGTTCTTTATACTTTAGCTCAAAGAATTAAAAAAGACTTTCCATTGCTTATATTAATTCCTGGTGCTTTACATGAAGAGATAAATATGCTTAAAGCATTTGTAGAATTAAATTGGTACTATTATTATATTTTTTATATTTTTTTACTAAAGTATATAAATTATGTTTTTTAATATAAAAATTATGTTTATTTTATTTTTATTTTATTAACTTATTTTTTTAAGGTTGATTGATATTAAACAATTTGCTTCTCTTCAAGAATATAAAACTGAAAATCAACATGGGTTTTTTAAAAAGTGTGCTGATCATCACAAATCATGAAATTCTATTTGTAATATTTATCAGATTACATATGAGTTATTATGGCCATATATAGCTATAACAAAAAATCTCTTAGTTGATAACTATCTAGATTGGGCAAAAAAACAAAATGATCATGTATATAAATTAAAATTTAAACAAGTAAGCTTTTTAATAAAATATTAAATATATTTAAAATTTTTAACTAATATAATAATAATTATTATAGATATTTACCTATCTTCAAGCAGTTATTAATTTTCGTATAGGAATTAAAAACAATCGACCATTGTTAGTAAGTGCAGCTCAATGTATATTTGCTCCAATATGGTCTGGTCGTAGACATCCTATATATCATTTACTTGAAATAACATATGAAGAACAATTAATGCGATTAAATCCTAAGATTAAATAATGTATAGAATTATATTCAGTTATTTCACAATCAGGATATAGCAATCAACATCAAGGTATTGATGCTATTCTTGAAGAGGTTAATAAATATTTAAAGGCCTTAATTCCACCTATACCTTTACGAAAATATTGGAGAATAGCAGCATGTAATTGTATAAAGTTTATAAAGGTTAATAAAACTATATTTGCATTTAAAAAATTATTTTTATACTTACAATATATATTTTTAATAATAATTAGCTACATCATACATTATTTAATATGATTGGACATGTGGATAATGAATCATCAGGAGGTCGAATACATCCAAATTATACATTAGAATCATGGTGATTTCGGGTTTATTTGCATAAAACTAACTTTTTAAATCCTCAAGATAATAATTGTGCTTTTAAAAGCCTTGAAGAAGAACATCTACTTAATGAACAACTAAAAAATTTTAATAATTTAGCATGTGAAAGACAAATAATATTAATTAATAAAACTTTTAGAAACAATAAACCTAGTTTCTTGCTCCGACCAATACCTATTACTGCTCAAGAAGCAGCAGCAGCCATGGATAAAAAAAAATGCAAAAAAAAGAACTTATAGCAATTATTAATTCATTGCTAAATTCTATTAATACTTCAGATCGTCCAAATTATCATGGATTACAGCAAAAATCTAAATATAAGTTGCTAGAAATTTTACAGAGTATTAGAGATTTGCATAATAATCAAAATGAACTTGAAAATGAAATAGAATTAGAAAATTAAAATATGTAAAGATTAAAATTTAATATAGGTGGGAATATATAAATAATATAAGATTATTTAATATAAAAATAATTATTTGAACTAATCTAAACAGATTTGAGAATAGCTAGGGTTAGGGTAAGAGTCATAGTATAGTTTTTAGTTAGCTTTAGGTTAGGGTTAGAGTTTTTTTATATTAAATTATCTTATAATATTTATATATTCCCACCTATACTAAATAAGTTCTCTCCATTTTAAAATTTAATAATAATAATAACAATAATTATTATCTTTTATTTGCTTAAGACAAAAATCTGTAATATATCAATTCCATAGTTTACTTATATAGTTTTGATTTACTTGAGTTACCACCCAAATACTACCGGTTCTCAAAAATGGTCTACTATAGTGTTTGAGCACTATCTCAATCACTAGCTAATCACATCAAGCATGCTGCTTGAGAACACCCATATTCTCACATACCATCCTCAATGTGATTAATTTGTATCTTCGCTATTAAAAAATCTGCTAGTTGTACATCGGAATCCACAGTTTTTTCATCAGCCAATTCTGAAGAATTATGAGTAGTTGCAACGATTGCAGTTGCATGAAAAATATTATCAGAAGATGGCAACAGGCCCTTGAGCTTTGCCAGGGTGATACTTGAGAATGCCCTTAATCAGAAGAAAATTCTATTTATAATTCTCCTCTATACTTAACACAGCTCCGTTTATCTCACCAACAATCATTTCACCAATGGCTTATTTAACCGACATCATGAAAGTGATAATTTACTAAGCATAAATACAACTAATTAAATGTAACCATAACCCTAACTCTATGTAATATTGGCTAACTGAGCTTTTGGCGAAATGATTGCTTTGCCCAGTTGATATTATGGTAGTTTTTGTTCATAAAATTTCTGGAGAAAAATTACTTGGATCAGGTACCCAATTATCATCAGAGACCCCATAATCACCATGATCTTCAATAGGATTTCCTGTATGCCCAAGCTCCTCAACCAATTCATTATTATATTCATCACCCATCCAGCTGTTTACCAAAAATCGTGCGGCATCTTTACGTGTCCTATACATGTAATTAAGTTTATCATAGAAATAAAATGTATTTAATTGCAGATCCAGTAATTTTTTCCAATAGCACACCAGAAGGATCCAATAATCTCAAACATTTAACAGTTGATATAAGTATTGATTATATCATTTGTGCCTGCACCAGGAATAAGTAATCTTTTCTTAAATCTATAATCATCAGGTCTATATCAGTATTGACATTGTAACGATAAATTTAATACAGAAATAGGCTCGCTGACTTATGCAGAATATAAAGATTGAACGAGACGATGTCTATAATTGTATCTAAACGTCTCATACAGATCTAAGAAAATACCCAATTCTTCATATGCAAAAGTAAGTGTGTATTTGTTTTTTTTTTAAAAAAAAAAAGATAACAAATAACTAAATATGAAATAAAAGAATGATACTTAGCTCAACAGTTTTCCACCTACATACAAGTAACAGCCAACTTGATAACCGTTTCTTATACGGTAAGTGTTTAGCCTAAGTTAAGGTTAGGTGATAGAATAGTTTAGGCTGGTTCTGAACGTAAAAAAAAAAGTTTCGCTATATAAAAATGAAAAATTCTAATTTTAACCGGGGTAAAAACACTGGGAAGCAAGAACATTCTAAGTAAAAATGTTCAAACCGCGCCCTAACCCTAAAAACGCAAGGGCGGTAATTTTACCTCCGGTTATAATTATTTTCCATAAAAGTAATATGTTTTCTTAAGAAAAATATGACTTTTTTTATGCCGAATTAATATAAAATTTAAGATAACCGCTATAAAGCAATAAAGAAAGTAAAGAAAGTCCGTATTCAAATTTTTGCTCGAACGATTTTACTATGATCTAGTCTTGTGTGACCGAGACATCTAGAATCATCGGATCGATGATCCTATACCATAAATGGAGTGATCGACACTGTCCAAATATGGAAGTATTCCTGACTGTAATTCTTATGTTCTTTCGATGGATTTTACAGTTTATAAATGACTTAGATGTCAAGAGGTATAGTTTATTAAGGAACAACTTCTACTATTTGAAGTTTTATGTTTTGAGTTGTAAAACTCTGTAGAGTTTTCTTTAATTAGCGTGAAAGACATCGCTCCTTTATAGTTTTTACATTGCTACGGCTTTAATGCTCAGCAACTAATTTTACATATGCAAACAAGTTTCTTTTCCTTGAAAGATGAAGAAAATTCATTTATTTCATTTCCGAAATCTTCTTCACCTTCGATCCTACCAAAATAGGTATGTTAATTTTACGTTACTACTATATTGTCTAACTATGCTAAGCTTATACTTTTAGAACATAACCGGTACAATGGTACAAAAATAATGAAAAAAGATAAAAATAGAAAAAAAATAAATTTGGGGGCCACAGGAGCCCCTTACAACGTACATATATTAATTTTTTTTTGTGCATATCAGAACTACTACTACATATGTTGACGTGTAAAATGGCTATCCAATCATATCTAAGGATTTGCACATATTAGTTCATAAGAAATATAAAATTTGAATATTATGTGACTAATTTTAAAAACTTATTAAATATTTACTGTAATATCTTATCTCGCAAGCTTTTTGCGCCTACTTTAATTTTACGGATACGCATGATAGTATTATGATTTAATCTTATTTTAATTTAGTTATAAGACCTATTTATACTTATGTAAAGTATATGCACTAAAATAATTATAGCATATATAATTTATTTAAAAGTTTAAAGTTAACTAAAACAAATAAAAAAACAGCTGATACAGTACAATAAAAATAAGTAAGAAAAGAAAATCCCGTCCCAAAAGTTTGAAATTATTTTACGCTAGAATATAGGATTGAAACAAGCTATTATTATTTAATTTACCTGGCAATCTAATAATATCTGAGTTAAATTTCTCAGAAGACCAAATTATGGCTACAGTCATTTAAAATATCAGAGATAGTCACTTTCTTTAAATTTAGATAATATATCTATCTATCCTTTGTATCTGTCGTAGTCGTTGTAATCGTAGCCTATTCATCCGTAGTCTCAGACAGTCCATTTTTCAGGTAAGACTGGTTTTAATAATCCTGGTGGCTTGTAGCCGCCGAAACAGAATTTATATATAACCAAAAGGAAAGCAGTTGAACCACCAAGTCCAGAAAGAAATCCAACAACAGTGGTCGAGCTCACTTTGCTAAGTTTAGGTTAAAATAGTTAATTTAAGTAGGCAAGATTTATATAATATTTAATATATTAGAAGAATTTATTAACTTACTTTACTTGCGTATAAGTAGTCAAAATTGATGACATATTAGAAATTAGTAAAGTAGTATACGGAGTAGGTAAATTTGAAAATCAGCGTTGCTATATTGTCCAATCGATACTTTTGGCAAATGGTGGTAATAAGATAATAAATAGCCGTATAAACAAGTAACTATTACAATCATGAATTTAAGATTCCTGCTTACATATTCTAGTTGACAACCCAATATAATTAACTCTATGTTCGGAAGTTTTACTGGCAACTTCAGTAAACATAGCTTTTTCTAAAGAAGTGTCGAGATCTTGATATTGAATGCGCTCTAAAAGTATATAATTCCACTGCATAAAATAGTATTAAATTAATTAAATTAATTAAATAAATTATAAATGTTAATAAATAAACAAAAATCAACATTATGAATATTAAATTTTGTTACTTGAAATGGCGAAAGTGTGTAAAGATTTTCATATAATAATGAAGAAAGTTTGTCTTGAATATGACTTGCGGTTTTTGAGTTTGCTAAACTTATGCTACCACCAGATAGGAAATCACTAATATTTATTTGGTTATATCTCTGGATCAAGTAGAATTACGATTGGATAAGAAGAGTTACTTGAATCAACAGTGTAAATTTGAAACTCAACAGTCAATGAACTCGAAAATAAAATATTGTTATGATAAACGCTGTAGTCTGTGTTAGTTGTGATATTATTACTACAATCAGATGTAGCAGTTGTATTAACTAAATTTGATGAAAATTTAGATAAAATAATTATGTCGATAGAAAAGAATTACAGTAAAAGAAACATTTAACAACAGAATAACATACCGATAGTACATGTAATATTATTGATCTGACTGGATCCGGGGATAAAATTGACAGCTAAGTAATAAAAAGCATAATAATATTATGTTAGTGGTAAATTATCATAATTAATTCCTTAAAGAAACTTACCAGAAACAGGTACATCGCCAGCTGATCTCGACATTTGTAGTGATGAAGGACCAGTAAAACTAAGGAGGTAGTAAATTATGTAGGCTATAATTAAGGCATAAATAATGAAGAGACAAATCATTCTAAATATTCTGAAACATTGAGATTCTTTTTCTTTTGGACTGTCTCTGTCAATTTCACACCAAAATAAACAGCAAGCATCATATATTTTTTTATTATTCATTTCTTATTAAAAATTTTATTAAGTATGTGAATGTGAAATGTTTGTAACAATGCCAAATAGCGAGAGAAATTCTTCAGATATTTATAAAATTCTGAAAACAATTGCATGATATATAATCAAAATCAATAAAATAAATTGTAACAAATATTGATCCATATATGTTATAAAATTTGAAATAATGAACTAAAATAGTGAAATAAGATTTATCTTGAAATTTTTCGTTTTCCTGTGTAACAAGTAATATAGGTTTAAATCCAGCTAAATAATCATTGACGAGTGTAAAAATTTAAATGCGAAACCTCTCAACGATCACTTAGAGATAGAACTTTTTATCTGACCGATCCGGATAATCCGAATATGACAATTATTCGGATAAATTTTGATTTCAGATAATTAGACCGGATTATCCGGGTATCCGGGTATCCGATAATTTATCCGATAATTAATATATGATGACGATATTATGATAATGAAAGTCAGATAAATTATTAAAAAAAGTTTAATATATTAGATAAAATATGCGATTATTTAAAATAAAAAATTAATCATAAAAAAATCAAACATAAAAAAAATTTTTTTGTCTTATTCTTGTTAACCATGGACGAAATTCACGAAAGTAACTCAAGCAATAATTCTCAAAACTCAAAAAAAAGAAAAGTTGATACTTTACCTTTAGCATTGGGTTCTTCTAATGAAACTGATGAATCCGATGAAGAAAATTCAATAAGTAAGGTGTAGCTTTATTTTAAGAAAGACAAAATCAAACAAGTTGGAAGATGTAAAGTAAATATACTTGGTAAAAATGGATATGGACGATGTGGAAAAGAAGTAAATCTTAATACTGCTAAGTCAACGGGTAATTTTTGGTATCATCTCAAAACAGCACATAGTATTACTAAAAATGAACATAATCAAATAAATTTTATTCGTAAGCAAATCTTGAATAATAAGATCGTATCCGTTATATTTAAGGATCAACAACCTCTTTCAGTAATTGTGGATGATAGATTTATTGAATTAATGAAGGAAGCAGTTCCTAATTACAAACTTCCATCTAAAAAAGCTATAAAAATTTTGTTGTCACAAGCATTCACACATACAAAGCAACAGCTTATGGATAAACTTTCAGAGTTGCTTTTTTATGGTTTATTAACAACTGATTTGTGGACAGCACGATCAAAAAATGGATGGAATTACCTGTTCATATTTGGATGAAAATTTTAAATTGAATGAATTGCTTTTAGCTCTTAGATATTTGCCATATCCACATACGGGTATGTCTATTGCAAATATAGTAGATGATATTATTAATAAGTGAAATTTAGATGAATGAATTTTTTGTATTACTACTGATAATGGAAGTAACATGGTTAAGGCAGTATGGTTTTTAGCTGAATTAACTCGAATACCATGTACTGCACATACTTTACAGCTTGTAGTTGGAAAAGGGCTTATTCCTTGTGAAGTACTTGTTGCCCGGGCTAGAAGGTTAATTAATTTTTTTATAAGCCCAAAACAAAGTGAAAAGTTAGAACGCATTTGATGATATTATTTATAAGGATGCAGATGAGGAAATAGATGAGATAAACAATGGAACTCGACGAATCCGAATTAATATACCCCAAAATTGTGATGGGTTTATTAAACAAATCAAAACTGCTTTAAATAAAAGCTTGCATCATTGTTATTCAGTTCCTTTTGAAGTTGGCATGCTAGCAGCATTGTTGGATCCCCGATGTAAATCTCTTAATTTTGTCTCTGAAACTAAAGATAAACATATTAAAAAATATGGTTGCAAGCTTACTATCTAATCATGAAGAAGCTCAACAAATAATTAAAAGTGACAATTCACTTATTACTCGAATACTTCAGCTACATCGTCCTCAAACAGATGAAGTAACTGATTATCTTGCTCAAGCAGA